CGGGGCCCGGGGGGGGGGGGGGAGTCTTCTATCTATGACGTATAACCTAAGTGTGGGGATCTGAAGGACACTTTGACTGCATCTCTTGTAGATCGGAGCTCTTAGTCCCATCCTTCCGCTACCACCACGGACCCTATTTTTTTTCCTCATAATTTTAGTTTTAACATATATGTCACACCGCAAACTTTTCTGGCCGGACTGAACAGAATTCGAGTCACCGTACTCTAACAGAGACTTTATTATAATGTATTGAGAAGCCACTACAACTCACTAAGTCGTCATTCTCTTAATCTATCTTCAATCCTAAGTTAAACATCAGCTGATTGATGCTTCTCAGGGTAATCTCATGATAGTTGCTAATGTTGGAGATTCTCGTGCTGTGCTAGCAACCACTTCTGATGATGGTCGTTTGGTACCCGTCCAGCTTACAGTTGACCTTAAACCCAATTTACCACGTTAGATCTTTTGCTTGCTCTTCACTACTTTCATGCATCTATATTACACAGTTTTGCCCAAAGACTTACACGAGTTTGGCTCGTCTCATCGTGTTCACAGACGAGAGCGAACGAATAACACAATCAAGAGGGAGAATATTTTCTTGCCCGGATGAACCTGGAGTGTGCAGAGTCTGGATGCCAAATGAACAGGCGCTAGATGGTCCGGGATTAGCAATGTCGAGAGCGTTTGGTGACTACTACATAAAAGACTTCGGTCTTATTTCCGAGCCTGAAATAACAAAGAGAAACATAACTAGCAAAGATCAGTTTGCTATTTTGGCAACCGATGGGGTACTTACAATCCTCTTAGCCACAATAATATTACTTTTCAGGACTGATATCGTATTGAATCCGATGCTTTATTGTTTTCTTAGGTGTGGGATGTTATATCTAATCAAGAAGCAATAGACATTGTTTCTTCGAAGCCCGAGAGGGAAGAAGTGACTAAGAGGCTAGTCGAATGTGCAGTTAGTGCATGGAAACGCAAAGGACGGGCTGCTGCAATGGATGATATTTCAGCTATTTGTCTCTTCTTTCATGAGTACGATCACCCTCAATCCGTGGACTCAGGGAAGCTGAATAGTAAACTCATATGAACTCAGTAACTTCTCATCGATCTTTTCAAGTATATATTTATGATTGCAGTTAAATCGTATTAAAACTCTGTATAGATGACTCCAAAGTTATTGGGAATAAAGTATATCCCTTGTATTTATAGTTAATTGATATGAATATCAGTATTCCATCGAGTAATACTGTGCGAGTCCTAGGCTACAATATTATAAAAGCAAACCTTGAAACAATCACATCTGAGTATTTGACTGAAGTTTCTGGTAAATTGTCAGCCGGTGTTGATCCCTTGAAACGCCATGCATTCGTGCTCATTCGTGTGACGGGACATATACTTCAAAGAATTAAGCTATGAGTACAGGCAAAGTTCACAGATGTGGTACGGGAATTCAAATAAAATGACGTGGCAGGCCCACTTAAAAAACTTAAAGAAATAATAAACAAAAGGAAATGTATTACTGTGGCAAAGAAAAGCGGGAAGGAAGAAAAGTCATTTCCCCACATGCCAAAATAGCGAAACCCGCCATCCCTGATCTCCAACCCTCTGGTCAGCATCTTGTCGCCATTTACGCTACATTTCCGACCAACGAAGTGCCGACCACCCGATAGCACCTGAGATCAGATTTTTAAGCTTTATTTTTATGCAATTAGCTATTTGGTTGCTAGAAAATTCTAGGTTTCTTTAATTTTTCTGCACCGGAGTTTCCAACTAAACCTCCAGTCAGCTCTTTGAGGTCGAAGAACATGGAAGGAATGATGTAAAACCCAGTTTCTCTATCTTTTTTTATAGTGAAGATTTTTGATCGACCCAAAATTTTTGACCTCCAGTCAAATTTTTAAGCTTTTATTTTGATTCATATTAGGTATTTGGTGTTAGAAATTGTAGGCTTTTTTAATTATTTTCACTGGAGTTCCTACCTAAACCTCCGGGTTGTAGATTATATGGTCAGATGATATTACCATTTTCATTTAGAAACTATAAGACATGATAAACCCATTTAACTGAGCAAAAACTCTACATCACTGAAAGTGTGCACAACTTCGTTGGTGTTAGGCGGCGGTGACAATCAGTGCGACGGCCGATTTTGCTTGAGGTGGAGGATTTTTCGTCTTAGGACGAGAAGGAGAAGGCTGCTAGTTGAAATTTGGGGGAAAAGATTCATGTCATTTTATTTTATTTTCATTTGCCTCATTTGCCTGCCACGTACCGTTTAAATTTGAAAAGCCTACCACGTATTTTTTTTCAAATTCCTGTAGGATTTTTGTAAGCAACTTCTTGTACCCATAGCACTATTGTACTTTAAATCGTCCACCCTGCATCCATTCCCATGTATATATACAATTAAATGCATAAATCCTCATCATGACCATTTGATTCTAATCCAAAATGCATGAAAAATATAGTAGTCTATATATATCAAACAAGGAATACATGACAAGTTCAGCTTTAGAGGTTGGTAACAACATAAAAAAGCTGTCGGTAGTCCCGAAACGTTTAAAACTAAAACACAATACAAACTTGAGTGCCCTTTTCTGTTATCATACTAATGTTACAAGGTGTCAACCCAAATTGTAAATGTCTTGCGTCCCATACAGGCAATCTCAGGTACAAAAATTTTACCTTCCCAAACACATGCAACCTAATGAATTCTTTGGACTGAGCAGAAACCACCAACTGATTTTCATCGGACTGAGTCATCCACGTGTATGGGCATCAATATCATATGGAGTCTCCTTTCCTGTTCATCCTCCTTAGTGGTTTAGTCATTTTTTTATAGACTCGTCTGCTACTGGTAATCTGAGAAGACCACTGTCTACGAATGGCTGCAACTCTTCTTTTGCCAGCTCTTTTATTTTGGAATCCGAGGTTTCCAAGAATGCGCTAATGACCTTGGAGCTAAAAACAAAGACAATCACATTTTCAGGAATTTTCCATCCTTCCAATCTCTGACAATTTTACTTGGAAAATGTTCGATTAAGTAGTCTCACCTATGTCCCTTGACCCAGGTTGCACATTTCCCTTTTAGAGCTTTTTCCCACGGAGTCAAAGCAAAAGCAGGACAGTCAAGAACAAGTTTTCTAGTGGTCCTGCTCGAATTGAACTGTTTGAGAATATGCTCCTCTTCTGCATCAGCCTGCTTAGGCTGCATAGCGAGTGAAACTATAGCTTCATGCAAAGTGGCTAACTTTTCATCCAAAGTTGGATGTAGTATACCATCAGTTCCTCCAGTAGCAACCTACATGTACTTACGAGATTGACCCAAGTCATTGAACCATAGGCTTCCAAAATAATTGAAGCCAAATAATACGTTAGACACTTTAGGAAGGTTAGATCAGATAAACAAAATGAAGCAAATTCTAATCCAAGAATCATATCTTAGAAGCATCAATGAATTACAGAGATGCAATTTTATCATTGATGCCTTGTACAGAAAGCCTCATGTACTTGAACTATTCTTTTTTTCCTTGTGTTTGGTAGGGATTAAAATTAGATTTCTTAGTAAATTGTGATAGAAGTTTTTGAAATGTGAGGTTGAAAGGTTGTGGGACCCATTAAAGATGTAATAAATATTGATTTTTTAACTTTGATTTAGATTAAAATCAGATTTTAATCCGAACCAAACAAGCTCCATTTTGCTACTTTTACCTTCAGAAGAACTTAAATTGTAGCACAGTCTTTTGTTGAAGTCATTTATAAACACCCTCATCCAAGACAGCTAGTGGGGCAAACTGTTGAAAACTCAGAAAACTGCGCCTCCTTCTAGTAAGATACACCACCAACGAGGTTTTCCATCAGGCATCATACGAAGGCAATGTAAGCCCAAAAATGGTTGGTTTCCTCCACTATGTCATTGTGCACTTAAAAGACTTTTTTTCTCTTATTAAACAGACAGGATAAGCTATCAAGCATCTAGGTATTCTCTTCAAAACAGCAATGGATTATGCAAAAGATTGCAGATTATAATGAAAACTAGTAGGCCACAAGATAACTACCTCATATATGATTTCTTTCCCAAATTTAGACCTTAGTAACTCCCTTGCCATTTCATGGCATACGTCAATGAGTTTCTGCCAAAATAAGAAACAAATGAATAAGACCAAATCCAAAGTTACATCTGAGAAGCATTAGCCAACAGTCATAACACGTTGTAAATAAGCTGGATGATTTTAACAATTCCTTGAAACTTAAACAGAAGGGAGGGTGGGGAAGGTGTTGCAATATTTTTTTAAGTGGACATAAAACAGCAGAAGCAACATTGCTATAGATTCATGATAGAAAATGGGGTGAACACTCCCAATAAAAAATGAGAAAACAGTCATTCAATATTTTTATGAAGACAGAATAGAAGTACAAACCTCAGCAAGCCCACTATTAACTAACAACTCCTGCCTTCGTGTAAAAGAATCCTTCTTACCACCCTTATTTAGATGTATACTTGCATCAGAGGTTTTGCCTTCACCGTTCCTATCCTCTTGAACAGCTTCATCGTCCTCAGAGTTCACATCTGATTCACCATGATGTACAGAATCAAGGAGACTAGTCAACTCATTACTTTACAAAAACAGTTGAAGATCCACAAATTCCACAAAGAAAAGGAGGTTGCCTTATTTCTGATAGATGGAATAGATAAACTCATATAAGTCAGATCATCTGGGCTGAAATATCGAGGACAATTTGGATGGAGTAGCTGTAGGAAAAGAAGTCTTCCGTTCTGTATGAGAGAAATTAGAGTATTAACATTCAGTCAGACCTACAATTTTAAAGCATCCAGTCAAACAATCAAATTTATATTCTAATATGTTTAAAAGCAATAACCTGATCTAAAATAAGCTCCTTTAAATTTCCTTGGAGTTCTTTAATGATGATCTGCATGAAAAGAACATTTAGAAGGTGGCATCCATTTGAATAAACAAAACTATTGAGAACTAAAATGGGAAGTGAGGAACCTTTGATATAAGTTTTGTGTCATCAACAATCGAAAGAATGCAGACAAGGACCTGAAATAGTGATCGAATCTTGACGATGCAAAAGAATCTCAAATCGGAATTTGGAAGTTAACAGCGAGGATGTAAAAGAATCAAGAAGCTTTATACAATTACTATCCACAAATAAGTTAACCAAGCACTAATAATCCAGCGCAGTGAAGTATGATAACTTCCAGTAATGCGATCCACCTCAGGACCAATGGTAATCTGATTTAAGATAGGGTGGAAGAAAATGATTGACATGGTGGATGGGTCAAAACTGCTAAAGTCACACTCACCATACTCCCATATCTATCATGAGCTATTTTGTCAATATGGCCCTTTAAGCCTTTAATAATTTTCTTCCGCTCCTGGAAACAAATATAGGATTTAATAGAAGCTCTAAACACCAACACCATCAAAGCTTTCAAAGTCAAGTTAGTAGTGTAAAATTGGCCGTCTATTAAAATGAAACTCCTTGGTCATTGTGACTTACCTTGGCATTCCCATGCTTGACACAGAGACTACCAAGTCTAGATCCATCCTTGGTGTGAATCACTCGCACAAGACCTGAACCTGACAAGTGCTGGATTACATCTGCAGCAGAAGACTTCAGGAAGACTTGATTTAAAGAAGAGAAAAAGAGAGTAGCCAGTTAAAAAAATACAGTATTTTCCCTCATAAAATTGTTATATCCTCACACGTACAGAATAGAAAGAATTAAGAATGGATAACCAAATTACCTCATCAGCAACTGTTAAGTACTCCATTAATGCTCTGTGCACAATGGAATGGTCTAATATCCCTTTCTCAAGAATTGGTTGAAGAACAGAGCTCATGTGGCGTAATACCGATGACTTTTGTAATTGTAGCTTAGCTATTACATCTACTAACCTGTAGCATTAGTAAGTCATAAGCAACACAACCGTGAAATTTTAGCATAATGATTATACTTTGATTCATATATGCATATAAAATTAATGGGTGAGAGAAAGAAAGAAAGAAGTGAGCAACTTCATGAACCCAGAAAATTTGTGAATGGTTTTTAATAAAGAGCATGTGAAAAAATAAAATAAAATAAATACATAAATAAAGTAACTTCTGAAAAGGATCAAACATTTTTGTACATTATAAAATCTCTCAAGCTTCCCAACCAAAGGAATAATCCCTTACATCAGACAGTTTTAAGTCAGTGTCCATTAGAATAAAGTCTACATTTTTTTTCGCTCAAGTAAGATAAAGAACCTCTAAATTCATATTAGTACAACTTGGCAAGCTTTATATAAAACCCTAACCCATTGCTTGACTATAAGATATACAACAATTAATTTACGCTTCAGTGATGACTACCTTAAATGTTTAGAGTCTTTCAAGCATAATTTTCAAGTTTCTAGTATCTCCATGCGAGGAAACTTCAGCCATAAGAAAGAGCGCAGATTATTTATAGAGTATTAATATCTTGAGTAGTAGTCAGTCAAGCAACACATTATGAATAAGGATTTCTGTACCTGGTCTCCTTCATCGTGACCAAATCCTTAAATAATTGAAGTTCGGGCGAATATAGCTCCATCAGAAGAGCTTGCTTCTGTGTTGCACTCCCCAAACTATAAGCATGTTCAATAACTACACGAAGAAAGAAGCATAAAAAATGGGAATATGAATAAAAAAAAGAAGAGACATCTTGCTTCATCAAAATAAATGTTATATGGTGAGGTTGAAGAATGATGGGGCTTAAAAATAACAAGTAAAACGACATTGTGTTGTAAACCAATAATTTAAAGCTCAACACAATTTTTTGTCATAGGTTTAGATCTTCAAAAATTATGTTCTCTTAAAAATGACAGTGGACTCTGTGACACCATGACTAAGTGAATAAAGAAGATTCAAATTTTGGAGGCAATTCTCTCTTACAATTAGTCATCACAGCTATTTCAGAAGTTCATAATTATCATACCAAGTGAACCGACCATTTGTCGAAGAAGAGAAGCAACATGCCCATGAAGGGAGGAGATAAACTCTGCTAGCTGTTCTTTGGATGCTGTAAACCAGTAAAACAAAACTCTTTAGACCACAATTAGATACAAAATAAGTATTAGGAAAGGGGAATGAGTTAGCATAATTTTTGGTCAAACATACCATTATCTAACATCTTTGTGACTAGATGAACTGCATAAGTATTGCCGACGAGGGAAATAAAGTGGGGCCGAAGCTCAGTAAACACAGCATTTCTTTCATCTTGTGTACAATGTTTGACACAAGTCTAAGTTCAAGGACATAAATCAATAAAGTACTACGTACAACAATTTCAAATTTTGAATAGATTAGAGACAAATCGGTACGCGGAGGATATAGGCATAAAAACCTGAAGAACACGAGAAGAAACATGGGAGCTTGCAATTTCAGGGATCTTCCCCTTCATCTTCTTGAGTGCTTCACTCACATGCCTTATTAAAAAATTGGAAACGAACAAATGATACTCACGGGAAAGCAAAACCAAGGGATGTAGCAAGAATTTGTAAAGTGAACTATACACACTTGGATCTATCTTCTTTTTTAATATCTCGAACTCTCATCTTCTCCCAAAGTGAGGCAAGTTCCTGATAAAAGAGAATTAAATGATTCAGCCAACAGAGAATAACTTTTAGCAAAAAAGGGATCTGAAGAGATAGTGATGAACTATTATTGTGGAAGTAATATAGAATATACAGAAGCGTGTTCACTAGTACTTCAAAGGTGATAAACATTTTGTATACACCTCGTGCTTCCTCATCGAAAAATAAGTTCAATGCTAAATATAGTGGTAATTTAAGTCTCCCTCAACCCCATGTAAACAACACAACGGTGCTGGCATACAGAAATCTGGTGGTATGCTAATAATTTGGAACACGAAACTTAGCCATCCAGATCCCATTTCATTTCCTATGGCCTCCCTAAATTTTGTTGTTTTTTTTTTCAAAGAGAAAAAAGATGAGCATTTTCATAAAAATGGTAGCACTCCTACTTTTAGTTACAGTTGTAAGTTGTAATAATAGAACTCCTACAATGTAAAGACGATCCCACAGCATAGATTGAAGCCCCTTAAAACTGTATCATGGGGATTATTAAGAACAAGACTTAGTTTGTTGTTGGCAAAACTAAAGAAGCCAATTCTAAACAATTTATTCCATTTGTGCTAAATGCAATCCATTCTCATTCCGTCAAACATAGCCATCTACATACTGATCAAGATATAAGTAAATGTACACAGTTCACCAGAGAGACTTTGTAATGCCTCTGTTTCCTATATAGAGATAATAAACCCCTCAGCTCAGTGGCCTTACAAATGTGCAGGTCAGGCTAAAATAAATTATCAACTAACTTATTTTCCAGATAATTTTGTTTCAAAACATGTTTGGGTATTAACTTTTTCCTTGAGTAAAAAATTTAATGATTTTGACAGTAAGGTAGGGGCAAGCGGTCAACACTATAATATTGATAGGTAAATTATTTCCAACTTTGACCTATAAAAGAATATAGCCCCAATTTGATAGCCATTATTGTGTAAAAATGAGGTTTTGAAAAGTTATTTTTTTGGAGAATGTGGTTCAAAAGTGGGGGATATTTTTGGGTATACGTACAAAATATTTTATTATGTGAATGTGTGGTTGAAAATGAGAATGAGAAATAAATTATTTTGTTTTAAAGGGACTCAAACAGGGGCTTCTTTGTTCTAAATCAAACTTATTCATTATAGGTATTAGATAAATATGCTAAGTTAGTCATACAAGCAACCATGTAAAAAATGATACAAATCAACTTAGCAAGTGCATGAGGAGCACGAGAAAAAATATTAACTCCATGTTTGATGATGGTGGTTAAGTTTGAATGTATGTTGTGAGAACAAATAACAAGGATAAAGATGTAATATGGTGATTTGATGACCAAAAGTGTCAGATATCTGTACATGTGCATGTGTATGCACATACACATAAATACGCATAACAAAGAGCCCCCCTGTGCAAAGTTCTTCATCTTTAAAAAATAAATTAATTAATGTTAGCAAAGGATAAAAATTATCATTCTTAATTAAGTTTCAAACGCCATATTTTAAGTTATTTTTTCTCAAACATTAAAACCCAAGAGGCTACAGTAGATTGCAACTAAAAAATTAGAATAGAAAATAGTAATTTAATAGATAAAATAGAAATATACTTGCTCCAGTGTATAATGTTTCTTCCTCTTCTTTTTCCTAGCTTCAGCTAGTTCCTGGAAAAAATCCATACAGGTGGAAACTTAAAAGTGTTAGGCAAAATCCATGCTTTCCAATACAGAGTTTCACATGTTATCAAGTAAAAATCAATACATGCACCATAACAAATTAATTTGCAAATAATTATATCAGGCAAGTGACAAAAAATGAACTTAAGCTGTGAAAATACTGTTCTAATTTACTTGCAAAAAGAGAAAAACCAGACAAAAAGGCACAGGCTTTAGAGAGCATGGAGACATCAAAGCACTGTCACAGCCTCATTGGTTGTACCTTGCTCAAAAAGTATCAAAATGAAATCCCTTTTAAGAACCAAACAAAGTTATATATATTTCTTGTTTAGAGAAAATAATTTAGCATCCATCTTGAAAATACACAGAATGAAAAAAGCATTACCAGTTTGCAGGTCTACAAAAATGCGACAAAGCAAGAACAAGAATTAAACAATGATGTTTCTTTCCATCATACTCATCTCTCTTCGTTTTTTACTATTAAGGTTTTTCCTAGTTATTTTAAATGGTTTTCTGTAGAACCTTCTTTGTGATTACTACTTGTAGTTATTTCCGGCATTAGTTGTCGGTTTCTGGAATTTTATTTAGCTTTCAACCAATAACTACGACTTTCAACTATTCGTTCCCAATATGGAAATTACTTAAGCTAGAGGCGAAGTTCTACCACAAAGCACAGAATACAAAATGTCAAAACAGAAATATGTGGTCCATTACTTGCACCCTGCTCCAGCAACATAAAAAATTGCTCTAGCATTTACATTCATACTTCTCCAACCCAAACACTGCATTGCCGCATCATCGTCCAGAAAAAATCAAATCAAGTAATTATGGAGCAACATAGCTATATACATGAAGGCAAACTCGCATGGTTAAAGAAAGAAAAGAATGAAATTTTGCTCATGGTGACATGCTTTTTCATGTCCCTAATCTTTCTGAACTTCGAGTCTTCGAGGTTAGCTTCACTCTGTTGTTTCTGCCACTATTCTTTATTGGATTACATGGAATTTTTTTACCGAGTCCTCGTGGGATTTCACTCCCAAAATACACAAATTCCTACATTGCCGAGGCATAAATTGATAATGCCAGTGCATGGTACAATCATTGAAGTATAGCGTAGTCTAATAACATTTTATGCTCCAGAACTTGCACCTTGTTTCAGCAGCGTGCATTATTATTCCTTCATCGTCATTTCAATTGACGCAGGGTAATTCCACATTAAGCAATGCATAATAAGAAGAAAAATCAAACCTTTGCTTGCAAACGACGCAGTTACTTATCGTCCACATCACCTTTCTGCACCTTAGGCTTTCCTGCATGCTGTAAATGTTATTTTCCGGTTGATTTAAAGGGCTTTTTTGAACCTTTAATCAGAATATCACTTCCAATTACTTTTGGTTTTTTAAGGTTTGATTGCCCCACTTTCGATTTCGGAGCCGGAGCACGCTTTCTTTTCTTGTCAGGCTTCGCCGACATTGACAAATTAGAAGCTCAAATTTCTTCTCAGTAGGAAAATTTTCAGAAGGCTCTATTGATTTTTGCTTCTGTATGTGTATAATCGTCTCTCTCCCTCTCTCTCTCTCTCTCGGGTTTTGACAGGGTTTTTATTGCGGGCTGGGCTCTTAGAAGAAGAATATGAGCCTAAAGATTGCTGGCCTGAGTCAATTTTTTTTTAGGAAAAATTAACTAGAAACCTTGGTTTAAAAATCAATTTTAAAAAATAAGAGGGATTAAGTTTAATTTCATAATTTAGGTGGTAATTAAAAATTATTAAATAGATATATTCCTAATAATTCAACATTCCCACCCCTAACTCCTGCACACCTTTCTCTCTCGTTCCCCTCGTAGCAGCCTTCACCACTATCACTACTAGTCGCAGTTTCCTAGCCGAAAAATGGGTATTTCTGTTGAGATTGAGATCTCGTTACGAAGCCGAATTGATCTCTTTGCAACTCGTGGACGTGGTTCATGATGATGATCTTGAGTTAGCTTTAGACCTCATTTCACAAACAAAGATCTCCTTTCCCGAATGACCCACTGAGAAAAGATAGGCCAAATGACCCAGATTGAACAGATCGTCGCCACGCCTTCAGCCATCAAAGATCGATGTATAAGTCAATTATCATCATGTGATTATAGGAATATGTAGTAGTTAGTGTGAACCGTGTGTGTAAATTTGTGGGTTTGTGCTAATTTGCAGGAAGTTTGCTGAGTGGGAGTGGAAGCAAACCATTTGACAAGGCGAATTCGGTCGACTGGGCTGATATGATTGATGGTTCCAGAATGCGGCACTGGAGTCGCGTCTTGGCATTCCAATTATCAATTATGATATTTATAACAAAAAAAAAAAACATAGGTGTTCATTGTTATTGTAATACTATTCGATATTTTGGTTAAAATATAACACAATGCATTAGAATTTCGATATTTTAGATTTAGTTTTAGTTTCGAATATTTGTGATTTTACAGGTATTTTTTGGTGGAAGATCTCAAATTTTGAAACCGATCGAGTATAGTTGATTGATAGTAATTTATCAAGTCATGGATTTCTCTTAAAGTTGAATTTTGTGCAACAGCGGCCGTTTATTACTTTCGAATTGGAAAGCGCTCATACGTATAATTATTAACAAATTAATTAATCATTATGTATCGTGACTATCTATAACCAAATTCGTGTTAACTCTGACCGTATGTGACATGGTTACATATAGTCACAAGTTAGACCAACATGATCACAAACAATTACACTGAAGATAAATTTGATCATAAATGCATAAGATCATAGTTGATATGTTATGAGTCACAATTCACTGGTCATAAGTTTAAGTTCACACGTCACAGTTATTCATATGATTCATAAATAAATATAAACGGGTTACGGATCAATATTAATACGTCACATGTTGTTTTGTAGAAGTCACAGATCAAATTTATAGGTCACATTTTATGTTACGAGTTACAAGTAACAAATCAAAAGTTAAAAATCATATTTTATATATTACAAAGTGCAAAGGTCGCAAGTTATTGCCAAGAAAAGGATTTATGAATTTGATATATTTAGCTACAAAAAATATTTTTTTGATTAATTATTTCACAATTAAAATTTTAATAGTATTTGATTTTTGAAATTTCAAACTTTATTTCTTAATTTTAAAATTGATCATATGCATATTCATCCCACCTGATTCGATCACAAATTCAATAGAATTGGTCACAGATGACAATGCTTCTGCTCCATCTAGTTGACAGTAAATGCATTCAACTATCAGCAGTGCAAAAATATATAGAATAGAAAACAATGGTTAGGACATTGGAAATAAGAAATGGAAATATGTGTGCTTATCTGACATGAATGATATCTGTAAACGACGAACATTTTACGCCTTTTACTTTGGAGCATTGCACTTGGACACATGATATTATAAAGTTTTTGTTTCACATAATTAACAATTAAAACATACGACATCCAAAAATGAAAACCAAAGAGAATGTAATATGCTTAAATTAGAAATCACTTTTATGACATTTATGTTCTAGTCCTGGATTTATATACGTTCACGAAATATTTTCTTTCAATTTAAATTACCGCAAGTGTACGGTTCGTTAACAAGTAATAAAGTGGATTCAATGAGTCCGAGTATCGTCCCACAGAGATTGGTTAGTTCAATTTCACTTATTCGACCTTAACCGAAACCAAATTTCTCAAAATGAATGTGGACCTAATTAAAACTCTAAAATTGGAAAGAAAACCCTACTTATGCAGCTTTTATGATTGTAATGAAATTAATAAGCAAAACAATAATTTAAAACTCTAAAATGAAATCGATTGCTGAGAACGCACGTTTTATTGTAATCAATAGAAATTAAACACACTATGATCACGATTTCCCGTGCAATTATCACTTTAAACTCTAGTTTCACAATATGACAACATAATTCAATTGTTGACGAATCAATGTTCCTAAGTCTATCCAATACTCTCTCTCGAGATGTATCAAACCTATTTCTACATACCACCGGCCTATATTTCTATGACAAGTGCATATGTAAAAATGCATGTAGTTTTATGAACACTAAAAGATTCACGTAGGGCATAGCGGTATATTTCTATCCCCTATCGGACCCTACGATGATTTATATTATGTCGAATCTATTCAAATTCTCTCGAATGCAAGAATAAATCACCCAAACTCACACAATTACGGGCCCTTAATTGCGGAAACAATAAATGCATATAAATCATTCAAAACAAAAGAAATATGTTTTAATGTCAAATTGCAAAACTAGAAATATAAAACTCAAATCACATGGTACATCGATCTCCTAGCACATGAAAATCTAGCCTAACATGATAAGAAATAAAGAAAAACAACAATTAAAACCAAGGAAGAACATCACCCAATTGATTCTTGAAGTGAAATCTTGAATCTTGAAGTGGATTGCCTTGTTTTTGCCTTGTTCTTCCTCTCCAAATCCTCCAAAATTGTGTTTTTGTGCCTCCAATTACGTTCTCCCCTTCTTCTGGACGTTCTTTCGTATTTAAATCGCGTGAAAATTAGGTTACCAAAGGAGTTTCAATCGTATAAGGAAACTGCAAAACGGCCCCCAGATTACACCTATGCGACCGCATAGGCATAACCTATGCTGTCGCATAGAGTAATAAATTTTGAGAAAAAGTTCTCGGGAGGCTTCTATGCGACCGCATAGAATTTGTACTATGCGACCGCATAGGCATACATTCTTTCCACCGGACAGCTTTTAGCATTTTGCTCATAACTTTCTCGTCTGATCTCCAATTGAAGTGATTCAAAGTGCATTGAGAAGAAAACTCAAAGATATACATTTTTGATAGAAATAGACTTCCTCAAATTCTGATGTTTACTATGCGAAAAATAGATCTGAAATAGATACTAAAAATCATGAGCATAGCTTTTTCGCCTGAAAGTTGATACTTGATAATACTTCGACCCTATTTCACCTCGTGACTCCTTTCCTCATCCGATTGACTTCTAACACTCTTGAATCTTCATTCCATTTCCCGTCTCATCAATGATTTATTTGCAACTTGGTCCCCGAACTTTCAGTTTAATTCATTTTAGTCCCTTTGCAATTCCTTCTTCTTCCAATCATCTTGTATTGCTTTCGAGTTCATACTTAGCATATTTGCATTTCCGAGTTGTCTTTTAGTTCAACTTTCAAATATTTGCATCCTTAGTCCCTGAACTATCACTTTGCTCCATTTTAGTCATTTTTCAGCTCTCTTCTCCTGAATTCCACTATTTCCATAGAAACACCTACATTGCATGAATTCAATGAGATTAAGTCACAATTCAATCATTTTACTTGTATTTAAGTCATGTTTGTAATCTAAATAAGTGTGCAAAAACACAATTATCAATATACAAAAAAAGTCATGAATTGATAATAGATCCATACATTAATAATAAAAGAATATTTTTAGTAACTGAAATTTGCCACAAATTCCATTGACTTTGATAATCCAAATAACAGAAACAATACACAGTATTCCCTTCAATTACCAGGAAAATAACAAAAAAAATACAAAATATTCCATTAAATTAGGGGTAAGCTCCACAAATTCAATATAATTGCTTATTATTGTTGTCAGAGCCATCGTCGGAGAAGGCGCCGGAGGTGGGGTGGGATCGATGGAACAGACGTCGAAAGTGGGGTGGGATGGAGAGAAAAAGAGAAAAGTTTTATATGATGGGTTGGTGGGGTGAGATAAGTAGAATAATTATACTATATTATAAATAAATATTTAATCAATTTAATTATTACCTGATTTTTAAAAGATTTTTTGAAGTTTGTTAATTTTGAAATGTGATTTTTAAATGGAGGATTTATGTGATGTTCCCCTTTTTTTTTATGTTCCCTTTTTTATTATTTTGTTTTCAGTTAATATTAGTTAATTGTTATAAATTGTTTTTATTCTAAATCTATTTTTTAAATTTATTTTTAATAACACGATTTATAATTTTTATGAACTTTTCAATTATATATTTTAACAATTTTTATTAAAAAATTAATTTTTATCCCAATCAAACAATGGCTGAATAAGGCATGTATTTAGATAAATAGTAACTTATAATTTCTAGTCAAACATTAATTTAAACGTATTTTCAAAATTATTATTATCAACATATTATTCAAACATTTCATATTATCATTCCTTTTTGCATTATAAGAAAATTATAAATAACTTATAACTTTAATTTAAAAAAAAAAAGCAAGACATATGTTTTAAATTG